GGGCACAGCACCCCCAGCTCCGCCGCAGGACACCGGCTGCCTGCTCTGCCTGGAGCCTGGGGAGGACCAGCCGTCCTTCTGCACCGCTGGCTGCCCCCGGGGCTGTGTCCAGCTGGGAGCCCGTGTGCTCCGTGCCCGAGACCTTCCTGCTTCTCCTTCCCGCCCGATCGGAGGAGGTCACTGACCTCTGCTGCGAGTCGGACCTGGTTGAAAACCACACCACGGGGTGCCCAGCCTGCCCCATGGGGGGTGCAGACCTGATTGAAAGCTGCGCCCTCCCACCCACACTGCCTACTATGGGGTGGAGGAGCGGACCTCCTGTCCCCTTTTTGGAAGCTCTTAAGTGGCTCCTGGAGCTCGGACCTCATCGGCCACCAACGGATCCACACAGGAGCAAAGCCCTTCAAGTGCCTGGAGCATGGGAAAAGCTTTGCCTGGCACTCAGCTTTCAGCAACCACAAACACATCCAGGAAAGAAAGAAGCCCCGTAAGTGCCTGGTATGTGGGAAGAGCTTCACCTTGTGCTCAGATCTCATCAACCACCAACGAATCCACACGGGAGAGAAGCCCCACAGGTGCCTGGTGACTTGCGGAAAGCAGACTCCAAAATCGATTCGGTTGTAAAGTAGGTATGTTTATTTCAGCACTAGGCGGCACGTGCGGGGAGTCCCGTCAAAGCCGTGCACCCCCCAGCGTGGCACCTGCCTTAACTCTATGCGTTAAAGTGTTACGTATTCATAAAGTTTCGCAATACGCCTGTACATATGCATGACCTGTCCTGCTTCATATTAAAAGGAGTTATTTCCATAATCTGCTCCTGTCCACGCTTGCGCAGGGCCTCCTAGTGGTGGTCGTCAAGGGTCTGGTGGAGGAAGGCTCGTAGTCTTCCTCACTATGCGCTTTTCACCTTCAGGTCCTTGCGCAGGCTCAGTCATCTTTCGCCTTCCATCCAAACTGCGGAGCTGGTATCAGCTGGTCTTGAACTGCTCTAATGCTTTTCTGTGATGCTCAATCTGTCATCAAAGAGCAGCTCGCGATCTGTGTAATTAATCAATATCTTTGTTGCTGCTCATATGCAATCATCTGCTAGTTTTCCGATAATCCTTCTTTCAGCTGGAGTGCGGCAAGAGCCTTCCCTCATGCTCAGCCCTACACACCCACCACCGTGTCCACAGAGAGAAGCCCCTCAAGTGCCTGGAGTGTGGGAAGAGTTTTGCCAAAAGCCCAGCCCTCCTGTGTCAGGGGATGACACGCACCAAGGAGAAGCCCTTTCCCTGCCCCACCTGTGGGAAGAGCTTCCATTTTCGCTCGTTCCTTGTTGAGCACCAACAAATCCACG